AGTACGAGCTGCTGATATGGGATTTCTTAGACGAGTCACTGGCCTTACGCGTCTCGACGTGGTCCGGAATACTGAAATTCGGAAGAGCCTTTTTGTGCAGCCTCTGCTTCTCCAGATTGAGGTCACAGCGTCGATTGTTTGGGCGTGTGTTGCGAATGCCTCCATAATGGAAGGCTAAGCAGCTGTTTCTTGCGAAACCGACCGTCAGAAGGCTCAGTGGGCGGTCAGGATTAACCTGATGCAAATATATAGAAGGATTCTGTTCCCGACTCCAGTTGTCTTATGCCGATGTTCAGACTCTGGCACAGGTTCGGGAACGTTGGAAGCTCTGTTTGACGCGTCTGCTTCAGCGATTCGAAAGGTAAAGCAGTCGTGGAAGATGATGATCATCGTTTGTTTCGATCATTACGTTGAACCATTTGTATAGATTGAACATCTTGATTTGTGATGTCCGCTGTATCCGCAGCTTTTGAACAGTTTTGCAGTAAGGCACTTATTTCTGGATGGCAGAAGGAAATATTCTACTCCGAAAACATATCTCCTTCCTTTTTGTTCCTTCGCGTTGCTTGCTGGTTACCTGACCTTTATCTGGCGTGTTTCGGCTAACTCACGAAAAGCTCAGGAGCTGAAGTAAATTCTGTATACAAACCTCTTTTTCTTAATTGCCGCATCTACTGAGCCCAACGATTTGACAGTTGAAATGATCAGAGCACATAGTCAGACTCTGTGGAGGATTCTAGTCGGTAGGTTCAGTTGCTACCTGGAAACGGAAAAGATATTAGGTAGAAGGCTCAAACTGGAAAGAGTTAATAACAGCCAACTACTGGTGCGTGCGAGGAGCGCTAGCTTTCACTATGCGTAGCCTTCGTTGACTGCCAGAAAGCGTTGGACATTGTCAAGCACAATGCGGTATGGACTGAACTACAAAACAAAACAGGACACATAAACCCCATTTGAATAGCCTTTATAAGAAGCGAATTCCGGCCACTTGAATAACAGGACGTTGTTTCACACTTCTTCTGCACTTTTATAGAGAAAGGCGTGAAACAATGAAACACCATCGCCTCCAAACTCGCCACTGACTGTTTAGATATGGTGCTCCGAAGGATGAAATGAATAGGTGAGATGAACATAAATTTAGAGTAGTTCAGCCATCTAAAGATTTCAGATGACGTGGAACCGTTTGTGGAAACGCCAGTCAGTTTTATGGCATGCTGCAAGAGCTCGAAAGAAAAGCGCACAAGTAACACTACGAATCAGTCGGTCGAGGAAGAATATATTGCGATCGAATGCCCTGCCGAAGTCCCAAGTCCCATATTAAATGCTTAACACATCAGGGCAATTAATAAATATATTTGCCTGGACTGAGAGATGAGCGTTTGGATTTGTGAGCTTGAGAGATTCAAAGAAGCAAGAGGGCGGGCCAGAGAGGGCTGTCGCGCATTCCACTCCATCGTGGACGTCTTCTTCGGCTATATCATTAAAGAAACCTGCGCCAACCTCTTCAGTTGCACTCTCTTGCTTGTGGTGCTGTTTGGATGCGAGACGCGGCCACTAATTTAGGCCAAAGAGCGCCAGCTATCTCTGACCGTGAGAGCCGTGGAAATGAGAATGTTGGGAATTTCACTTTGCGACCATATCCCCATACAGTAATCAGACAGCCGACAGGAGTGAAAGGCGTTGTCGTCGAAAGCAGGTGGGAGGGACTATGGTAAACCGGGCACCTATCTCGGTTCATCGGCGATGATGTACGACTGATGTTCTCGCGGGCTAACTACGTCTCTTTTCCGTTCACCAAGACTAAAGAAGATTATATCTGGAGCCGGTGAATCCGCTTTTTGTGAGAGAGGGCTCGAAGTCGCCAGGAATGGCTGAAGAGTTGCAACCGGCTGGATTCTTCGCCGAATACCAACCGGTCCAAGTGATATATGGAATACGCATTCAAACGTTTCACACGTGATAATGATAGGGATTGGCGATTGATCCTGATCGTGGTCATAAGCATGATAATGAAGGCAATTATTATAATAATTGTTCTGATGATCGAAGTATTCATAGTCATGATGATAATGAAGATTGTGTTGAGGATGTTGCTGGTGATGATACGGTAACGGTGATGATTACGCTAATATGGCGATCATGATGTTGAGTATATATACGTCCTTAACCACTTGCACTGTACGACGTAACCAGCGCTAAAACTTCATTTCACGGGTCAGAAAACTATATTTGCGTAAGAACCCAAGTGGGAACTACCGGCATCAAATACGTTGATCCATGTGTATCTTTCATTCGCTCAGAATAACGAAGACGTAATAGGTCGAATGTCTGTAGTTGAGCCAACACAGTTTAACTTAAGCTGAATCCATCTAAATCAATGGATGCGATGTTATGTTGCATCCACTTTATAAAACTAATTTCAGTTTTAGGTCAGGGTCCATTGGTCGTGAGTAGTAAGATGTTTTGCAGGAAATCAGCAGTAACTACTTTGGAGTATTCCTGAATGACAGCGTGCAGTGGGGGGAGGCACGTTGAGAGTGTAGCTTGATCTAAGTGAGCAAAATTGCCCGACTCCTTTAAGGGTTGAGACGGGTTAAGGTAATGTCAGCGGTTTTGCGGTCTTTCAGGAAGACGGGCGTATCACAGTCTACTTCCTTAACTTTATCCAAAAGAATTAGTCCATGTTGCGGACAGCTGTAAAATTGACTGCTTTGCTTGCTAATTTACACCGGAAAGAAAAGGTAGATTTTATCGCTAGAAAAGTGGTCGTGTCTGCCACGTTGCTGGGCCAAAAAATACTGGACAGTCTGAAGCATGTACTAAGTACTCTGCACTAGCATCTTGCCGGACTAAGCTACAGTCATTTAAAAACTGATTCAGATCTACTGTCTGCTGTACGGTGGCTTACAGACAATCGATTCTTCCATCTATCATAAGATATTTATTGAATCGCGAACGTGAGTATGGGTCGATTCTCTCACAGCTTGTACCTCATGAGTAATTTAGCATATTATCACCTTTAGCATTCCTGCTGTTTTCTGTATATTTTTTGTGCAGAAGTTTCTTGTTGTTCATGTGCTCAATGCACAGTAACTTGTTGTGTACCTATTGATTAGCGTATTACAATACATTGTATTGAAGGCAATCTTGAGGAGTATTTGACTTGCAGTTCTTCATTTCAGTAACTTAAGTTTCCTCGAACTGTTCTTCTTTCAGCATAATTGTATTTGGTCTCATCAGTTTAAATGTAATTTACTTCATATACATACTGATATTACGTTTTGCGGAAAAATTGCAGCACTGTGTGCTTAATTCTTTATTCAAGTATGACACTGTTCAGTTTTGTCTCATGTACATATTTTTGTTTTTCTTTATTGTTCTTAATGCGATAATATCGTTTTAGAAATTGCACTGTCCCAGAACAACAATGAGGTTCATATCTATTCGTGGGCGAACGAACAGTGGCACAAGTCGCATTCGCTCTTGGCCCACGATCTTCCAGTCACTGGTATCGACTGGGCACCGGAAACCAATCGCATCGTCACCTGCTCCCAGGTACCAATTTCTGAACATCTCTTTATGCTAATATATAATGCCAGAATTAGGACAAGAACGCGTTCGTCTGGACTTTCGACGGTGTTAAATGGAATCCGGATTTAGTGTTGGTACGACTGTCACGGGCCGCTACTTGTGTTAAATGGTCTCCGTCAGGTATGCTAAGGTTGCGTTTGTGTCCTCTCTGTCCTTTCATTGTGTAAATAACGCGGTCCCACGGTACTGACTCGCCATCAACTGATATGTTAGGAAATGTAGCCTTATGGAACTGACCGCATGCTGTCGAATGTCAGAAATGTTGAATGTTCTAATTCAGGAGATCGAAAACTATAGATCTGTGGGCTGCTTATATCTTTCCCCTCGTCGTTGAGATGCTGGGAGCTCGGAATAATCTCTAGTATTATTAATGTTATATACTTCAGTATTGGTGTAAACCAGCTGCAGTTGGTTGTAAACTATGAAATTTTGAAGAATGATCTAATGCTAACCTCTGGGCAATGATTAGTTTATTATTATCAACTTTAGTAGTAGTGTAAATGAACAGTGGTTGGTTGTAAATTATGAATTTTGACGAATGGCAAATGCTGCGCAAAGTTACTGATAAGGCACCTTTTTATTCAGAACGACTTGTTAAAATTCAGCGGTTATGAACATACATCAAATGCTAGACTGTTACATGCACAATGTGGTGACGTGTTCAGTGATAGACGGGTACCGCCCATATTTAATGGGTATAAGACGTAAAACCGTGTCTTAATTAGGTTGAGCAAATGAAAGTTCATACCCAAACGCCACGATCCGTAGGGGAAAAGAAATCAAAAACATAACTCCAGTGTTCTGAGGTAGACTACAGATATGTTGGGGTAAATATCGCCGCTGATACATAATATTTGAAGCATATCGATGCCGGATTGAGACTGCCAAATGCACTGTAAAGAAGGAAATATCACCGATACTGCGGTGGTGCTAGACAGATGAAAATCTTACCCCAGGAAGTACCGCAATATTATACCGACCGACCTCTTACTAAATTTAATAATTGCGGTATTTTCCCTTCGATAACGCGCATCTTATGCATTCCGCGCACCTTGTATATTTTAATGCTTCTCGAAATGTACAGTTAACGCGCATCTAGTAGATATCGCGCAAGTTGTAATAATTAATGCTCATGAAAATGTATAGATAGCGGTGTGGGGGGTGTAGTCTCTTTCTTGTCTGAAAAAAGGCAGATTTTGGACAAATGAATAATGGAATAATATATTTGGCTGTGGCTGTATCTAAAACAAACGAACAGAAAAATTAACAACTGTCGCCATATTACTTCTGGTCTTTAAACACGTGTATTCTACAAGTGTCGTTTTTAAAACTGAAAATTGCTAGTGAGAAAAATACTCATGGAGAAAATTATATACAACCATGTTTCAGCTGGAAGCTGTTAATTTCGAGAAAGAAAAAGAGAATCGTGAGGCAGCCAGGAAATTTGACGTTAAAGAGTCCAGTGTACGTGAATGGAGGAAAGAAGAAGCCCTAAAAAGGCAGTTTACACTAGAAGAAACATGCAGTGAGGCGTAGGAGATGCTTCTGGCTAGAGCTCGAAAAAAATCACTTCTCGAGTGGGTTCTTTCTGAT